TAAACAAGGGATGATCTCCAAGTATTATTTTATTATCTGCATTTTTCTGTATAAGAAATTTTCAGTGTTTATTGATCATGATACCCTCCTATCAGTTTGTCTTGCTTTTTCACTCTATTCATATTATATTTCAAGTAAAAGATTTCCTATGTATTCAGATTTATCACATCTTCCTATTTATGGACTATGCACTTTGTAGCTTTTAAATAAAATCTTTTCTTATTTCAGTATTAGGACAGTCACCTACCCTGACTTCTAAAATCTCAAAGTTTTGCTTTTAATTTTTGAGTTTGTGATTTGTACAAAATTTGAACTCTGGACCTCATACTTACCAATTAGGTGCTTATGCCACTGAGCTAAATCCCCAGCCCCAAGAGATAGCCTTTTCAACTCCGCAGAGCTTACCACCATCTTTCTTTTACTTTGCTCCTTAAAGTGCTTATATTTTGAGTCTGTCATATTAAAGAAACTATGTGATACTTAACCTTTCACTTATTTCACTTAGTATTTTGGTCTTAAGATCAGTCAGCTGTCCTATAATGACTCAAATTTATCATTTTTATGGCTGATATATATATATATATATATAATTTTTATATTATTACATATTTAATTTTATATATAATACTTAATTTTCTATAGTCACTCATGTTGATGGGCTTCTAATGATCAGCTATTATGATTGGTACTGCTATATACATGGCTATGCATTTAATATCACATCATTGTAATGTGATGACTAATTCTTTCTAGGAAGACAGACAAGGAAAAGCTAGGTCAAATGGTATTTCTAGTTTTAGTTTAAGGAATCTCCATGCTGACCTCTGTAATGCTTATACTAGTTTACATTCCTACCAACAATGTAGAACCATTCCTTTATGTTCACATTTTCACCAGCATTTTTTGTTTACTGCATCCTTGATAATACCTATTCTTACTGTGTAAGGTAGAATCTCAATGTTCTTCTGGTTTGCATTTCTCTAATTAGCAAAAATGCTGAACATTTTTTCATGTATTTATTGGTCATTTGTGTTTCTTCTTCTCATTTAAACTGCCCATATTTTGATTGAGTCTTTTATTTGTGGAGAATTTTTTAATTCTATATTCTAAAGTTTTTAAGTCTATATTAGTTCTCTGTCAAAGGAGCAGCTAACAATGTTTTTCCCTTCTGTGGATTGTCTCTTCTCTCTGTTGGTTGTTTCCTTTGCTGTGCAGAAACTCTGTAAATTGATATAATACCATTTGTTGATTCTTTGTATTATACCTTGTGCAACTGGCATTCTGTACTTGACGTCTTTGCCTGTCCCTATGTCTTTGTGAGCTTTGCCAATTTTCCTTCCATAGGTTCAGTGTTTTTCTGTTTATGTCAAGGTCTTTGATTATTTTGTTTCATTTAAGTAGAGAGTGAGCAATATGGATTTAGATTTATTATTCTGCACATGGCTAACAAGTTTGAAAACTGTGATGGTTTAAAGACAAAATATAGTAGACTGAGCCAGTAATATGAATCACAAGATGAAATAATCTTCCAATATGAAGACAAAAATTCTTAAGGCATTTGTGAAGAATAATGAAAAGGAACTATGAAAAACAGCAGCAAGAATTATTTCTCAGAAGAAAGAATTAAGAAAACAAATATAAAAGATTCAATATGCTGAAAGACAACGTTCTAATATAGAGACCTAAAGTAATAAGAAAAAAAGCAGACAGAACTAATACAAACAACAGAGTCAAGATAACATTGCTAACCACTAGTTGAGATAGATTTTGAAACTAGACCTGTTTCCTCTGAAAAGTCCTGTTCTAATCCCACACCTGTACATATTCTATTAGCCATTAAAAAGAAATTTCTCTGCTTGCAATCTGGAAGTCTGAATTGGATCTATATTGGAAAATGGGGTATTAGTAGAAAAGCTGGTGACATTACTAATAAAGTCTAGAGTTTAGTTAAAATACCTATTAAATAGATTAACATATTATATATAATATATAAGCCTATTAACTCTAGACTTAACAAGAAATGGCACCAATCTCTTAGTTTTAACAATTACATCAGTTATGTAAGATGTCAATGTTAAGTAAATCTAAGTGAAGGGCAGACAGGTGTGCAATGTTTTTATTAATTGAAAATATTTCAAACAGCTTAGTAAAAAATAAATCTCTCACATGGTGTCTTGTATAGGCTTAAAAGTTTGCATAAATTTTTAAGTGAAGAGATTTACCACGTAAAACCAAATTTTTAAAAGGGTCTACTTTGCTTTGAAGACATTAAGGCATATTATTAATGATTTTTTAAAAACAAAAGTCTACCTTGGTTTAGTTATAAGAGCTTTTTAAAAGCCTTCTTACAGTTTCTCTCATACGATTTTTCCTTACATATGAATAAACACACACCAAGACACTCTAAGCAGTAATTTTTAAAGCTCAAGGCAATCTGGTGAGATAAACTGTTCTCCACTTCTGGTAGAGACGTAACAGAACTTCTGTGAAAAACTTGTCACAGCAAGAATTAAATTTATAGAATTAATACAACTACCTGATTTTAGGAGATGTCAGATACTGGAAGAGTAAGGACTTCAAATAAATGAATTCTAGGAGGGGAAAGCTGAAGCATATAATTAAGCCGACACTCAAAGAAATTCGACTATGCAAGGAACGAAGGAGAAAATACAAGAAAAGAAGAGAAAAAATATGAGAGTCAGGGATTATAGTGTCTCCAAGGATCAGAGGTGTGATAGATGATGGAATAGGGAAAGATGAAGAGTACTAAACCAGATCAAGGCAATGCCTCGCTCACAGCTGCAATGGTGGTGCCCATCACCGACGTGTGGGCCACAGATCCAGGGAAGCCTTGATGGTCTGTTTGCCTCAGCTGCCATGCTCCTGACTTCTCCCCACTCTTACCTGCCTCTTACACTCTCTCCAGTCAGCCCCGTTCCTAAACATTTTCTCAGCCATTTTCCTACCCTTCTATTTGCCAACTTTCATGTGGAGAATGCTGCTCCTTCAGAAAGCCCTGGAAAATTCCACCTTCTGCAAGTTTTACTCAACATTAACTTACAGGTGATTTATTACTATGTACTTTTTAATTAAAATAATGATCCCCAAGAGCTCACAATCCCCTCTGCGCTGTTTTCTCACAGTTGCTTCTACTGTCAAACTGTTCTATGGAATGTCAGTCGCCCTAGTCACAAGACTACAAGCACACAGTTTTGCCTCTTTTGTTCATTGTTTTCCTTGTGCCTAGAAGAGTGCTAAGCACATAGTAAGTTGCTCTCCAAAATTTGTCAAATTAATCTATACAAAAATGTGATTTTTCAGTACCATTAGTAACATTTACAGTGATAAAATACTGGTTACTTTTCCAAAGCCATTTTGTTGTTTAATAATAAGTCAACTTTTTGCTTGTTTTCTGGGTATTTTCTACACTGAATAATTACTTCCATCCTGTTTCAATGTGGGAATATTGTTTTTAAAAAACTTCACCATTATCTACCTAGAATTATTTCAAGTCAGGCATACTCAATGTCAGTGTTAAAAACAACCAAAGTGCTTTCTTCCGAGGCCTTTTCTTATGAGCCTCAATAACATTTAGTTCTTGCCAGAAAAAAGTGAGGCATCCTAAAAACTACATGAGCAAATATTCCAGTAGCACAATCACTAAGAAACTGACATCATAAAATTCCAACATCATTTTCAAGAAGAAAAAATTAAGATCTAGAAAAGTTAAGTCACTTTCCCACAGTCAGTTAAGGATCACTGATGAAATGCTGAATGGGAACTCATCCTTTAAAGAAGAATCAGGAGTTACAGACTGGCCCACCCTTTCCACATCTCTTTATGCAGTGAGAAGTCCAGATTGGAAATGCTCAGTTCATCATTTGGAAAAACAAACAAATAAAACCCTTTATTTTCTCCAACTTGTTTTCATCTCATTTCTCATTGATCAAGGATGTTTACAAATGGTAGCTTCAGTTCTTTCTACATTCAAGATTCTCTGCATTATGATCACGAGAAAAAGAAAGCATACAATCACTTTACCTAAGCCTGTTCATCAGCCCACTGTGCCTCACAGCCCCACTCAGCATTTGGACTTTACATTCCCTGATGAGAATAGTGTAAGGGCAGCATATTCTACAATGTCTTACTTTTTTTTTTTTTTCCAGTGGGTGAGTTGTCAATCAACTAACTCTCAAGAAATCAAATGGAATCAGCTTTCAAGAGCTAAAAGTATGTCATTTTTTTTTTAAAGCACTGAAGTCTGCTGAAAAACTACATAAATGCCATTGTTTTAAGTAAGGGGAATATAAGGCTGGAGCTGTATTTTCTTCTCAAAGATATGGACAGTAGTTTATCTGCACGCATGTATCCCATGGATATCCAGACAGTCACCTCCAATGTTACAGTGACACACAGGAAGATATTTTGGCAAAGACAGTCTATAAAATGAAGTTGCTTTAAACCAAAACAACCATATTGATTTTTAGTACAATTTGAAATGCAAGAAAGCATCAGTTTTCTAAACGGCACAACACTGAAAAGGAAAGGGATAAACCGCAAACAGTGGAGAGAAAGAAAAGAATAAAAGACAATTGCATTACCAAACATCTTGGTGTTCTTCTATGTTAGGTCTGCAGAACTCAGAGGGTTGAATTATGCTGAACTACCCTAATCTAAAATTCTACGATTGTTCCTTTATGCACTTTATGCTCGCAGCTGGAACCCTGGGCATCTTATAGATCGTTCTGAAATAAAGCCTTTGAATATCTGAACACTGTTTCCAAAACCCAAGTAGTTTTTTTCCCCAAATAATGCATCTCTCTTTCCTTGAAAATTGCAAAGCCATCTAAACTGTACTATTAAATATATCATTCACCAAAATATCATTAAATTTACCACACACACATATTTTCCTTAGATATTCTTCGTGGAAGCAAATAACTTTCAACCTGAGATCTCTCAAGAGAGGCTCAGAAGGAGGACCGAGCAGCAGGACTTACCACTGCCCTCTCACTTGTTCTTTGGGCAACTTCTCGCTGCAGTCGGGCCACAGCCAACTTCTCCCTGGAGAAACAAAAGCACGTGATTAGTGGACCATTCCCAGGACAGAAGTGACACCACATGACTGTGAAACATTCTTCTGTGGTCTCTAGAGGAACTCCTGTCACTTAGCTCACTTCCTCCACGATGCTTCCCATAAATATTTAAAGTAACTGATCAGTAGTGCATTGTTTTCCTCTAGCGTCATGAAAGAATTTTTTTTTGGCCTTGGATTTTATAGTAGCCAAATAAAATGTTGATGCTCAGGAAAAGCTTTGCCGGGAGTCCATTAAGACACATCATTTATGACAAATTTTCTCTGGCTGAAATAATTCAGTTGTACTTTCTCTATCAACTTTGCTTATATATTTTTAATAATCTTCATTTGTTTTACAGGTATTTACTAATGTAGAATTTTAAAAAACAAAGCATACAGTCATATCATTCTTAATAATGGAAAATCATCTATAGGCTTGCTACATAATCCTTACACTGCTGGACATTTTACCTATTCTCATATAAGCCTGACACTATCCTATGTTTTATTAACCCATTTCTGTAGAGAAAGTGGAAATTAGAGCTGCTAAGTAAAAAAGCCAGTGGACATATAATAGTTTTAGGATTAAGTTTCTGATGTCCTTACTTCAAAGCCTAAATAAAAATTCTGTGTATTATTTTTCAGGATCTAGGAAATAGTAAAAAAGGACTTAAAAATCAGATTAGTTTAGAATTCTGTATTTAACAATAGGGTTCATTTTATATTTCTTAAAAATGTAATTCTGATTTCACTTACAGTATATTGAATCTTCACCAAAATTAAGAATACTTTTGTACAGTGATAGACAGTTTTCATTTTAGACAGTTTTAAGTTTTTTTTAAAAAATAGATGATAGATAACATATAGTACATGACCTCTTACAGTGATCCCCAAATCTTAGTTTTAGTAAGATATCCCATGAACAACTTCTCTCACTGTCAAGATATGAAACTGAGTGATACTGCATCCAATTGTCTGCCCTCTGCACAGAATTAGTTTATATGCTAACATAGAGGAAACTGTTCTATTCCAAAACGAGTGAGAGGATTTCTTCTATTTAACTGACAGGTCTTTGAAACACCTCTGACTGCCAAACACAGACTATGCTTTCAGTTGGTAAAGGCTGAACAACATTCTAGCGGGAAAAGCTTTCCCTGAATAAAAGCCTCAAGACATGCCTGGACAATGGGAAACTAGAATGAGGACCTGTTCCAGAGAACAAGTTTGGGGATTTGAAACCACACCTGTGCACTGCATGTCCCTGTGAAAGGGAACAACAAGCTGACAGGAAGAACCATTGAGAGAAGTAAATCACATGCCTATCTTTAAGGTAACAAGGCAGAGAGTCCATGGGTCGTCTAACTCAAGTCCCATAAGAATATGTAAGAAACAGAGTTGAAAGAGATGAATATGACTGATATTATTTTTCACATGAAAATTAAATGCAACCATTCATTGCCTTTCTCCCCAGAAACCATTGAAATTGTTATGAAGTTGTAACAATGGAGTCACTTAGGAAGTGAAAGAAAACAGGAGAATATATTCTGTATCATATGTATTATCTTTCTTCTCACCAAGACACAATACCCAATAACCAGTCCCTCAGTTAGAGGAGGAGATGTTCAATTAGCGCAGTTTGAGTCCATGATCAGCTGGCTCTGAGGCAGATACATCATGACAGAAATGAAAAGGGAAAAGAACAAGAGTAGAAAGGGTAGGGGTCAGACACAGATTCCAAGGTCACCTCTGCATGACCCCCCCCCCACACACACACCTACAAGTGTGCTCCACTAACCCATAGAGTGGATGCCAAAGCAAATCAAATTGATACTCCACTCCTATCGCCCTAACCTCCACACTCTGTAAAACAGCAATTCTATTCCGAACCACAAACCTGACAGATATATAAATATGTCACCACCAAAAAACACAGACTAGGATGTTCATACAAACACTGTTTGTAACACCAAAATGCACATAGTGGTTAGCAATAGGATAGACAATTAAACTTCAGCAGTCATACCTGGTCTGGTACATACACTGTATAGTCCACAGTCAATCAAAGCAACACACAGAGCTGGGCATGGTGGCATACAACTATAACCACAGCACTATGGAAAGCTGAGGCAGAAGGATTCCAAGTTCAAGCTTAGCCTGCACAACTTAGAGAACTTGTCTTAAAAAAACAAAACAAGGGCCAAGGATTTAGCTCAGCAATATAAGAACCTGGCTGGCAAGTACATAGTTGCAAGTTTGTTCTCTGGTAGCACCCAAACAACAAATAATAATAATAATAATTAACAAAAACAAAAAAAGGTTGGGAGCATAGCTCAGGGAGAAGACAAGAAGTTCATATCACATTACTATACTTTTGATTTATATAAAAACTAAAGCTTCTAGTGTGATGAGGAAAAACATGAAAATCAAAATGGAAGAGGTAAAACTGCCTATTCAGAGATGACAATTTTCTAAATAAAAATGTTAAGTAACTTTAAAAACAACTGTACAATTAATAGGTTGATTTAGCAGTCACATCACAGAAGCCATCTCCATAACGTATATGAAAATCAAATGCGTATTTTTGCACTAGCACAAATGAACTGGAAAATGAAATTTAAAAATATTGATTGATGACAGTGTCAAAATCCAAATATTTAAGGAATAAACTAAACAAAAACAACCTGCAAGACTATTACACTGTAAGTTACAGAACACTGCTCAAGTGGCTAAATGAAGACAAATAAGGAGAGACATATGCCACATTCAGGGTTTGAGGGCTTAATATTATTACATTTTCAAACTCAACTGTAAATTTTTTTTCACTAGGTAATATCCCTCCACCTAAGCAAACAAAGAGAAAGTCACTACTGGAAACAATCAATTCCACAAAGAAGAAAAGAAAAAGGAATTCACTTTTTTTTTTCTTTTGATAAAGAAAAGTCCTTGCACAACATCTAGGTAAGAATCCAAACAACAACAAAACCTTACTGTAGTGAGACTGTTTGCAATCCCAAAGGATGATTCTGTGTAAAGAATCAAAGCCAAACCAAAGAAACTATCTCTGGGTTTGTGAATACCAAGAAAAGTTTTGAGTTCTACGACAAAGTTTATAAAGCATCAGAAATTGCAATATAAAATGTAGGACAATGACAGAAAGTGAAAAAATATTAATTCTAGGAAAAAGCAAAGCTATTTTATGTATACAGTGCTAGAATCCAAATCCAGCCATGAATGGCATTTGTTTTCTCATTTTAATTAAATCACATTTTAAAATTTAGAATGGGAAACATGGAGAAATAAGTGACACAGGAACACTAAATCTGATCTTGCATAGTAGGGCAACAATATATAATTTCTAACAGTAACCAATGTAGAAATAGGAGTACAACATTACATAAATAAAAGGATGGAAACTCAGGAAACAGCCCAAAACAGTGGAAAACATTTGCGTCAGGGTGATAAAAGCTGAAAGTAGAGAGGAAGCACTATACCTCTTACAATCTTAACACTTCATGTAATTTCCTAATTATGTCTGTGTGTTACCCATTATAAACATCTCAGAAATTATGTTTTTAAAACAAGTGTCGTGGGCTGGGAGTGTAGGTCAGTGGTAGAATGATTGTCTAGGATGTTCAAGTCCCCGCACAGCAAAAATAAACAACTGATCAGTTCACTTTAACCTTTATAAAAATACTATCATAATGTATTATAAGAAAGGACAGATTTTTCACAAACTGGAGATCCAGTGTCAAGTAATTATCATGATCCTGAGAAGAACTTGTTGAAAAATTTTAGTTAATAAAGAAAAAGATCTAAAAGTCCATGTAGAAATGTTTTAAAGTCCATACTACAAACACTTTAACATTTTAGAGATAAATATATTTTATACATTTTAAAATGAATTGCAACGTACACAGAAAAAAATTAAAATCATAAAAGTGCATTTTTTACATTGTAAAATGAATTGCAACATACACAGAAAAAAAATTAAAATCTTAAAATCTTTCCTATGGAAAGAGAGAGAAAAGAGATAGAAATAAGAATTGAAAAGAAAACAGGCCTTTACTGAGGGTATTGGATGGCTGCTGAAGAGACGCAGGCAGCTTAAGAAACTTCAGGAAAAAACCGCGGGCATTTTATTTGGAATTAAACAGGGGTGGAGCTAAAGGGGCGGGAGGAATGACGTATTAACAGCTGATAGGAGGATTCTTTTACCCATGCGCGAAAAGCAGAAGGCTTGACTTGTGGGTTTGTGAAAAGAACACAAGGGGGCGCTGCCCAGTGCCAAAGGGAGCTCCTACAAAAGGAAAAACTTATCACTAAAAACACACATACACAATGATTTCCACAAGTCAACTTTCGGGAGAGGAGGCACACAAGCTTTTTCAAATTCATTCTGAAAGTATAAGAAGCACAACTTTCATAGAGTACTAGATAAATAACTTAATAAATCTCAACAAAATAAATCCTTTTTTTAACGCTCTGAGTGAGGGAATAATAAAACAGTAGTTCTCAAAAATTTGGGTCATGGGATCTCTGTACACCAAAAAAACTGAAGACCTCAAGAGCTTTTGTTTTTATGAGATACACCTCTCGATATTCACCCTACGAAGGTGAAAATTAGTATTTAAGAAAATTCTCAGTTAATTAAAATATAATAAACCCATATTTGTTAGCCATATTAGCAAAACAGATTTATGGGAAAAAAAAACCTATATTGCAAAAAAGCAAATTCCATAAAAATGACAAAAAGTGCTTTAGAATTCCACACAAATCTTTAATGTCCATAGATTCTCACATTTGCTTCGACATACAATCTGCTATAATAGCATGTCATGTAGCTCCTAGAAAACCAGACATGAAAGAAAGTGAGTTTAAAAAGATAAGTATCTTAGTTATTGTGAAAAAAAGGTTTGACCTTGCAAATATGTTGAAAGTCTTCTGGCCACCAAAGGTCCCAGGACACCATGGGAACATCAACTAGAAG